ACTTTGTGTCATGCTATAGGATTATTGAAACCTAAGTTCAAAAGATTAGTAGTTGGACGAGTAGAAATTAGCCGGAAACACAGATAACATACCAGGGAGCATGATAGAGACTAGTTAACCCACTCAATACATACTATCTTCATTTAAATCGAGTGCAATGGTTCGGGAATTAAGTTTGATCTTAAAACTTACATTAAACTTGAAAGGGAGAAATATTACCTATTTGAATGGTGGATCCAGGTGCACGTGAACCAACGGTATCAAAGACAGCGATAACGATGATCCGCCCCTGCAGCAAAATAAAGCAAAAATATTAATACATGTTTACTATCACAGGTATTACAGAGCAACTTGCATTTTAGAACGGACATTTTAAACAAATTGAGAGATAGGTACATATTTACGTCTGAGTGAAGTGAGCATTAAAAAATGCATGTGCCAATGCCAAGACGATATAGAGGCATGTTAGGGATTCAAATCCAAACCCTGGTTTTTTTTTTGGGGGGGGGGGTCGACTAGCCAGTACACCAAAGTCACTTTGTTGTTACACACACCTCTTCGACTTCCTGCAGGTAGGTTGTAAGTCTCTGTGCTGCTGCTCTACCTCCTCCATAGTACCAGGTGTCGAACACAGCCGTATCAAGAACTGTCCCATTCTGCTCGTTCAGAATATACACTTGATGCCCGCGAAGAGGGCCGTTTTCCAACTCTGTAATGAAAACAAACGGCCAGAATTGATGATGATCTTCTAATATATGTTCTTATAATTCAACACAGTATTTAATTTTTATGCTAAGTTTCATAAACGGGATAAAGGACTGACGTCTTGTTTTTTTTAGAATTGATTGTATCTAAACCTTGTAAACTGTTGTTGCCTTTTAATTAAGATTGAACTATCCAAATGCAACTTTAGCAGATTTCATTTATTTGACTGTATCAGTATGCAGCCAGGACTGACCAATTAGCAAGAGGCTAGCCCTCGCAACTGGGCAATAAATATGTTATAAAATGAAATAACAGTTACAATTGAACATTTAAACGAAGCAAACGCGTTATTTTTTTATACCGACGCGTGTTGGGCTATCGTTAGAAACAAAACTTACAGAACAATGTTTTTAAGCAATGTTTACAAAGAAATTCAATACATACTGCTTGCTTGTCCGTTGATTTTGATGTACGTTTTGCTATACTTGTCAAGGTTTGCAAAACCGGGATCTTCATGTGCAAACGACCGTGCCCACACGGTGAAACTTTTTACTGTGTGGAAATAGAAGAAACACCTCTGTTAGTAACTTGATGACAACATGACCATGAGCCGCGCTAGAGCAGATGAGTTGACAGTTTTCCAAAAACGTTTGTGCGGCGCAACGACGTTGATCTTTTTACTCTCCAAATGTCAGTATGG